TATATTTGCATAATCTGTTCTTCTCTAAATAGATTGTTCTATACTTGTTCTGGTTGATTTAATCCATTTATATTTGCCCAGTGCTTTAACTTGCTGAGGTCATTCAATTTTCTGGTATGCTACACATGCCCACCTAACATTCATCAGACGTACATTCAGTGAGGGCTGATTTGATTCAAGGCACTGCATCTTTAATAATAAAGATAAAATTCTTCATTACTTCATAAACCTTAAATTGCTATATAAATGCTATAATTATTACTATGTCACCTCGTGGTTAGTGGAGTTAGAAAACTACCTGCTACCCACAGATCTTATGTTTAGGACTTTTTAAAAAAAATTATCTAAAACGTTTATATGTAATTCCCTGTGCTGAGAGATATGTCATTTGTATTATTTCTGAAATCTGCAGGACATAAGATGAAATCATTAAATCATAACTTAAATTAATTGGAGGCAGAGGCCAACTTGAACTAGTGAGAAGTTCAAATAAAACATTGTGAAAGAAAGTATATTGTGTTATTTTCCGCTTTATGCAATAATTGAAACTAGTCTAGTAGTCTAGCATTCATTCATTCTTTCCATTGGAGAGAAGGCTTTGAAAGATCCTTAAGGACCTTGTTTTAATGAATGATTAGTATTTCATATATCAACTGTTTGTTTTCCTGGTGTTGTAAGAAATACACTGAATTTAGAATCAGGAGAATTAGGGTTAATTCTCAGCTCTTTGACTTACTAGTTGTGTAACTCTGGGAAAACATTTAGCTTTTCTGTAGCAGAGTGTGGAGTTGAACCCAAGTCCTCCGGAGCAGTGGATAGAGCACCAGGCCAGGAGTTAGGAAGACCTGAGCTCAAATCTAGCCTCAGATACTTCCTAACTGTATGACTGTAGACAAGTCACATAACTCTGTTCTCCTCAGTTTCCTCATCTGTCAAATGAGCTGGAGAAGGAAATGGTAAACCACACTAATATCTTTGCCAAGAAAATCCCAAATGGGGTCACGAAGAGTCAGACACTACTGAAACCACTCAATAACAACAACTACCACCACCTACACCTCTAAATGCAATGCTCTGGTATGCTGTGCCATGCTAATTCTTTTGGACTGAGTGCTGAACTTGAAGTTAGGAAGATTTTAGTTGAAATCATGCCTCTGCATTCACTACCTTTGTGACCCTAAGCAAATCACCTTTCCTTTCTGAGCATCAGTTTCCTCAGCAAATGAGAGAGTTGGACACTAGATGGTCTCTAAGGTCCCTTCCAGATCCCCAGGCTACTTGTAATCTTGTATTCTCTTATGAACACTGATCACCTATATTTATAGTTTCTGCCAGGCTGTGACTATAGTTGCCACTGTCTCTAGCTTTCTGGTCCAGTTTAAACCTTTCCTCAAGAACAACCAGGCAACACCATGTACTTTTCAGCTCTTTTTGAAAAGGCAGATAACTTGGCCTAAGGTCAACAAAAAAAGAAAAAGAAAAGAAAAAAAAAAGAAAAATTTCCATTCAGATTATCCTACTTTATTTCTGTAGTCTTGGCTCTGAAATTTCCCATCTATCCCAGCAGGATATTCTCAGGTTCAGGAAGTTCTTTTAGAACAAAGGTCCATCCAGCTCCACCGATTTTATCTCTGGCAAAAGACAAAATAATAAATGCACACATATAAAATATTATGGAGAACCTGTGATATAAATTAAAACTGAGTCAAAACTCAAACTCTAGTTTCATTTTACTACACTTTGCTTCCTTGCCATTCTAAGTCTTAATTCTTATAGTTTCTGAAGGAAGAAGGCTCTAATCCTCTTTTTTTTTTTTTAAGATCTTACTACCTTGGTAGGGGAAAATAAATTCTTGAAAATTTATAAAAATAATTCCTTTCACCTAGTCAACTAGTTTGTTGAATGAGTAGTAATGTAGTTTAGCTCCTTGCTTTAGTTATTTTGTGAATTTGGATTTTCTTTTTTTTTTCTTAATCAGGACATACCTGTATTAGAAAGAAAGATGTGCTAAGTGTAACTCTTTGTATACATTCTGTGTGTTTTCTTATAGATTTGGAGCTTTATCAAGGTGTCAACTTCTGTCTTCACTTGACCCCCAGAATACAGAAGACATTATTAATGAGATGCTTTCAACTTCATATGAAACATGGTCTGGTACTAGTGATCATGAAAGCCAATTAAGTTGGCCTAGTGGCAGTGGAAGTCGGCTGTCATTTTCAAGTGAGGCTATTTCATCTTCTTCATTTGTAAATTCAGTACACAGGAAGCCTCCTCCAAATCATAGAAGATTTTCTCATGTTATGTTTGAAACACTACCATTTTCATCAAGAAAATTACTACCAATAAGGAAAATGTGTACAAATAAAAATAAGAATGTACGGTTTTCTTCTGATTATAACTTTTTGAGAAAATCCAAGATAACATTAGAAAATGATGACCTAGATTTAACACCATGCCCTTCAGCTCATTTATATCTTTCCAGAAACCAAATTAGGCTTCTAGAAGAGAATTTGAGAAATCAAATCCCTTCAAAATCTCAGCCTGTGATAAAGATTAAAACTACTTATCAAAGCTCAAACTTTGCTAAATTGAATCAAGCACCACTGTACCCATCAGAAGAAACTTCTTGTAAAAGAGAGAAAATGCTCCAAGAGTCACTATTTCACTGCCCAGATGATATCAGGTCCAACGTTTTCATCCATCCTCAAGGTTTAACACAATCTGAAGTTTCAGTGCAGACTGAAGTCCCAGGTCAGGGCCAAGATTGCAACCAGATTCAAAACAATATTAATATCCAAACTTCAGCAAAAGTCCGAGGTTTGTCCAAGTTCCAAAGTGCTTATTATGAGAAGCAGGAACAGTTCACTACTAACTTGTTAGATAAAAGTCCACCAATTTTATCTCTGACAAGAGACAAAACAGTAAGTCCACAAATATTAAATATTATGGAGAATCTAAACATTTTAAATCCAAAGGAAGAGCTCCAAAAATATTCAACAGTGCCTAGTACTTGTGTACCTGTTTCATTTCAAACAAGGCACAAAAATGGAATATGTCCAACAGACTTGAAAAGTACAATGGGTCCCAGAGTTATGAGTCTCAAGGCAAAGAAAACATCATTTTCACAGCTACTTAATAGCCTAGGCTATGGTACATTAGCCAATAGAAGGAAACTGGAAAGTAACATTGCAAAATCACACAGTACTTGTGAAATGAAGCCATGTAATGTCTCATCAGATTCAGCCCTAAAAGCTAGACAGGTTTCTGTGCCCAGATCGTCTTTTGGTCATAGTAGAGTAAGAGCAAAGAGAGATATGCTAAGAGCCACAAAAATCAAATCTCTGCAGGTACAGAACAAAAAATCACCAGAGAAAATATCATATGCACAGCCACTTGAGAAGACACCTCGATCAGTGGAAAATAAAGGTAAATTTAAAGAATCAATAGATACCTGTACAGTCAGTTCAGAGTACTCAGATATCAAAATGCAACATAGTAAAAACTATGGTGTGATCAGATCAGGATTAACTGTGAACAACAAAGAAAACAGTTGCCCACCATGTACAAATAAGATAGAATTGCTTTCTCTAGAGCGAGATGCCCAGCAATCCAAGTATGTACCTCAAACTGTTTTGAATTCTGTTTCTTTCCCTAAGAAGTTTTTATTTCAACCTGAGAAAGCAAAGAAAATAAATGATGCTACTGACCTGCAGACTTTTAAAATGTCAAGTTCAGTGGGACAGAAAATACCAGATAAAACTGACATGCCTGTGTATGACTGTTCCAGATCTGGAAAAAGACTTAAATTTTTTATTTCAAGGCAGAAGACCCTGCAGCCAAAAGTAGTATTAAAATCTTTTCTCTGTTCTATTTTTGCCCCTGTCAAGTCCCCACTTCAAAGTGAAAAACAGAAAAAAAGCGAGTGTTTAGGAGAAGACATGGAAAGAATAATACAAGATCAATCTCAAGGAGAAGAGACATCATTAATTGAAGTCAAGTGTGAGCCTATTCTTGACTCGGAAAGGGTTGCCAATCTCCAAATTGTACCAGCCCAAGAAGAGAGGTCACTAATTAAGGCACAACTGGTAGAGTGTGATGGCCCAAGAGATTCCATGAGGCAGGGAAACTATGCAAATCATCAAGAATGGTTCACTACAAACCAGGAGGGGCAGCAGGATCAAAAATGTTTACCAGTAACTATTTCAAAATCTGGGAGTATCATTAAGTCCTGTATGCCTCTACTTGAACAAACATCAGAAAAAATCTTGGAAGACTCAAAAAAATCAATATATCCTCCAAGTTGTGAAGAAATCAAAAAATCACTTGAGAGTCACATAAAAGCAGCAGACATTTTACAGTCTATCTATCCCACTGTTCCCAGTCCCTCTCAAATTAAAATCAAATATGTAAAAATAATGGAAGACAAGAACAATTCTGTATGTATACCTCTAATTTGTGAAGAAACCAAACAGTCTGAATCCAAAGTAGAAACTGGAGTTGATTCAATATGTAGCAATGCCATCATGCCCAGTTTATATCCAAATGCAACTAAAGGGCAAATAGTGGCAGACATTAAAGATGTAAGTCCTTCTCCAGAAATCAAAAGGTCTGAATCTTGTGGAGTGAGTGAAATTGATTCAAATCTAGTAAAGTCAGATACAACCACAGTAGAAATAGTAGCAGATGTTGACAATTCAATGTGCTGCGCTCCACTTTGTGAAGAAATCAAATTACATCTTGAGACTCCAATAAAAGCTGAAGACTTTTCAGAATTGAACATGACCTCCATGCCTTGTCCATGCTCAACTGCAATAGTCCATCCAGTGGAAGACATACAAGGGACAGTGGCTACTCTGGTTTGTGAAGAAATTCAAAAGCCGCCCGATGACATTTCAAAATCTAGTGATGTATGTTTTTGCAGCTCACCTTCAGTTGAACCAAATTCATTGTCTTTAAATTATGAAGAAGAAGTCAAAAGATCCCTAGGGTCCCACAAAACAAAAAAAAGTATTTTGGAATCTATATTTACTACTACACCCAATCAAAATTCTAGGAAAATGAAAACTGTACAAGTAATAGCAGACATGAGCAATTTAGTATGTTCTTCAGTTGGTGAAGAAATGCAAAAGTCTGTTGAGAGTTCCACTGTTTTGGAACCTTCGGATACCGCTTTTCCCCTTCCCCTTGAAGGTAAAAAGAATTCAGTACAAATTCTAGAAGATGTGAAAAAATCAGTATGTCCTCCAATTTGTGATAAAATCATCAAGTCCTTAGAGTCTCATATCACCAAAGCTGTTTCAAATTCCATAGATGCCTCCACACATAGTCCATGCCACATTAAAAAGAAATCAGTAGAAGTAGTATTGGATTTGAAAAAATCATTGTTTTCTCTTCCAATTTCTGCAGAAACCAAAAAAACCCTTGAGTCTTACTTAAAAACTGGAGGTGTTACACAAACTAGAGGTCTACTTCAAAAGAGAGTATCACAATTAGCATCGGACATGAAAAATTCAGCATTTCCTCCTACAGTCTGTGGAGAAATGCAAAGTTCCCTCCAGACTCACATAAAAATTCCTCTTGAGAGGAACTGGGAAATTGGTAGAAAAACAGAGAAGCTCCCACAGAAGGATACATTTCTAGTGAAAGAGGATCAAGAACAAATTGGGGCAGATGTAACAAAAGATAGCCAGGTCTCCACACGCTGTGGTGGGAGAAAGAAAGCTTTTCTCAAGGCCAGAGGCACTGTAGTATCTGGGTACTCCAAATCACAATTATGCTCCATCTCTGTTCTTGATAGGCTCACTGGTAGTGAAAAAACAGATCTTATTTTTCATTTCCAAAAGAAGGGGCTAGAATTGAAACAGGGAAGGATGCATGCAATAATTATGGAATCTTACCGAAAATCACCTTCTCTCATCAAGCCATCTATTTCAAAAGAAGCTCACAGTGATAGGCGAGTATTTCCAAGATGCAGAAAATTAAACTTTATGTCTCAGGAAGAGGTTGATTCCCTAGAGATGAGCTTAAAACACAAATACCTGATGTTTCTTTTTGGACTCCCTTTTAATAGCCAGAGCTCATTAAAAGAAATCATCCCAAAGGCTATAACTGCAATCCCTTCAATGATCTACCAGAGACATAAAGCTAAATATATTGAAAAAAATGTGTTAGTAATTAAAAGAGGAGTGAGGGAGAAATTAGAATTACACATCCATGAAAAACAGAAACTTGGTTTTTCAAATTCAATCATGACTGTTCTTCCCCAAAGCTTCATCCCTAGTCCTCCAGAAAACATTTATCATCCAGAAGAAAGAAACACTGTGAAAAGAGTCATCTGTTCCCTTTTCATTGAGGGTGAAACGAGGAAGAGTTTGCCATGCCATCTGAGAAAAATGGCAGCTGAGAAGAAGGGTGGAATTCCCTCCAAATTAATGAAATATGAGAACACAACAAAAGAATTATGCCCTATCAGCAGTATAAAAGCAGTGATTGTGAACAAATTAAATGTCACAAATTATGTCAATGAAAACATTAAACAAGCTGTGGAGGTCAACATGCAGTTAAGGCTAAGTCAAAAGGCTTCATGTACGGCTACTGAAAATAAGGGAGGATCACCTCCTCTAGTTTTCCAGAGATTCACAGCCAATGATTTAAGAAAGCTCATTACATATTTTTTAGTGAAATCATTGGAAGTCAAAATGAACATGATTCCTAAAGCGGTGGAAGAATCCATTAAAATGGGAGAAAATCAGGTTCAAAGAAAACCTCGATTAGAATCAGTTTATCCTACTAACAAAGTCACAAAGCCAAGAAGCACAAAATTGCCATTCATGGAGTCCAAGTCTCTTCATCAAATAATTCTTAATTTACAACACAAACGTCTTATGTTTCTCTTGGGGCTTCCTGTTCAGACACTGCCCCCCAAGCTGACTATGCCTCCCAAGTATCTGCCTAGACCTAAGCTTAACAAAAAATATAAGACTGTAAATGAGGTTGGAAACCAAGTTTCCTTTTCCATTGATATGGAGAAATTAGAACGACACATCTCTTTGAAAAAGCAGGAATCATATAAAGTCCTTCCATCAGTTATAATATTACCTAAGTTATTTATACCACCTGTTTCTTCTTCTGAAAGCATTCCTATGGCAATGGATGAGAGGACAATTTTGGAAAAAACTCTTTCTCCAAATTGCTCCAGCACTGTCCTTGATTCTCAATGTTTAACACAGAAGGATAGTGGTGAACCTTCCTTGAGAAAACCTCATTGGTCTCTAGGAGAAGAGAAATTCAATGTCCCTTTCAAAATATCTCCAAAGTTAACTAAAACTGTGCCTGATTCTCCAAAAGATGCACGAGCAGATACTGATAGCTCTGAGGACTCAAAAATGTCTTGCCTTCCGAAAGGGGAAATTTGTCTTGAGCCTCAGAAAAGCAAACGTAAATCACCTACTTCACCTAAGAAGACAAACACTGACGTAGTGTTAGACTTAGATGAAACATCACCTGAGAAGACTGAACGTGTTCTTGATTTCTTTGAAATCCTCGATGAACATTCAACATCTTCACCTGAGATTTATGACATCTTTGAAGCTAAGGAGGTAGTTAATGCAAGCACTGATGTGAAGCCTGAAGTTATGTTTCAAAGTCAGGAAAATGTCCTGAGATCTGTCGAATTAAACAACTCTCCATCTCCCCCTAATGAAAGAGTAGAAATGGAAATGTCTTCTCAGAGATCTGTAAAATTAAACAAATCTCCACCTCCCCCTAACAAAAGAGTGGAAAGGGAAATGT